TATTCTTTTAGAGCCTGTTTAGTAATGACCATTCTGTTTTGCTCATATCTAGTACAAAATAGCTGTTCACAAATAGAACTATAAGACAATTTGTACAGATAAATAGAACAGAATAGTCATTACTAAACTGGTCATTTATTTTTTATTATTTTCAGATCATTTTATCAACCTTCACTAGTCTTACATGATTTATACTATTTTCTATTTTTATTCTTATAACATTATGGAAAACTATTGAAATTGGGGGTTATTATATTTATATTTTCCTTTAGTATACTTGCATGGCTGGTTTGCACTTGGAGCTGAATACCTAAGGCGTCAACTTCTATACAAAATATCTGGCTTTGCTTCGGCTATGCATATAAGCTATTCAATATTCAAGTCATATTTTTATAAATTATTATTTTATAAACTATCCTCAATATGTATACCTCTCTCTCTCTCTCTTCAATTAATTTTGCGGGTGTGGGTATCCTAAGTATTGTGGGTGTGGTTACCCGGCCTTGGGTTGCTACCAACACCTCGCTTAAGTTTTTTTGCACTCGATGTCTACATGACCCGCCGTAGGCTTACGGTGTTTAGAAGGCACTAATCCTTCTCTGGAACATCAGCCTTCAAGCCACGAGATTGGCCATGCAGCTACTATTCTTGTGCGTACTTGTACTCGTAAGCGTCGGTATTTAAATTAGGCGTCAGTGCCCCCGCTCACAGCGAACCTGAGGGAAAATTGCTCTCCAAAGAAACCCTCTACGGCTACGGTAGTTGTTTTTTCCCACCACATCTTTGAATCCGGAGTAGAAAAGCGTAACTCAAAGGAATCTAAAGCTTGAAGGCCCACCCACTTCGGGGGAGAATGTTAACTTTTGTTAGCAAGCTATCATAGCCACACTTTTACATTTTCCCTCCTTAAGCTCATAGCATTCCTGAGAAAACGAAATGGCAGAGGCCTCCGCCGTGGTTGCTAGCAGCTTGGCTCTCATTCGCCTCAGTGCGAAGGTTTTCAAACTTTGCTATGACTACTACAATACAGTCAAGGGGAGCCAAAAAGATTTCAAGAAACTGGGGGACGAGATTAAAAGTATCCATCAACAACTGGAGGAAATCCGAAGCCTTGCCGCCGGAGACGATGAGAACGATCCACAATACCCTAGCCTTCTTCAATGGGCAAAAAATGAAAGTCTGAAAGATTACAAGACAACCCTACAGGAACTGGAGGAAAGGTTAGATGTCCGGGAATGGAGGAAATCTACGAGAAAATATGTTTGGCCTTTTCGTAGACCCAAGATAAACCATTACTTAGGCTTGGTTGAAGAGCAGAGATCCAAACTTCATCTTTTATTAACCACAGCCACAATGTAGGTTATCCATTCTTCAGTACCCCGAGAGTCTAACTTCTCCGCCTCCTTGTTTGTTTTCACGGCGGGGCTAACTAATAGTATAGGAAGACGGTAACTAAAGTATTGCGAAAACTAGATGGTACTTGGTCGCATTATTCCTAATCCGGTTAATTAATTATCTTCTCTACTAATATCAGAGATTTCGGGTACCCTAGACAATGAATTCCGGAAGATTCTGAAATGGCTTAAAGTCGTTGACCCAACCTCGAATTATTCATCAGCACTTGCTCTTCGTGAGCCTGGTACGGGTAATTGGCTAATCAAGGGATCTGAGTACCGGGATTGGAAGGAAAGCAGAGGAGGGGTTCTCTGGCTTCATGGTATACGTAAGTGTACAGACGAGTGAAATCTTGTGTTCGAAGAATGTCACTAATATTTGCATCTTGTAGCCGGGTGTGGCAAAAGTGTCCTAAGGTGCCAACTTAACAAGTTATCCGGAGGCGCAATATTATTTTTAGATTGCTAACTCTCTCTCTAGCGCTACTGCCATTGAAGATGTCAAAAATCTGTGCAACTCGAACGACGATCACGCATTAGCCTACTTCTATTTTACTTTCAGTGACTCGGAGAAGCAGAATTTTCTCAATATGCTTCTGTCCGTCGTTGGCCAACTACTGGAAGGCGTTTCGGGCCGTTGTTTCCCCAATGAGGTTATAAATCTGTATCACAATTCCAAGGCAATTGGAAAGTCAATAGATATCGATGCTCTGAAATCAGCATTTTCCCAGATGATAAAGCTTTCCAAACGGACATTTATCATCCTCGATGCCTTAGATGAGTTCCCCAAGGACACACGGGGGAGTCTCCTATCCTGAATCAGCGAGTTTACGGTTGATCATAACGCGGGATTACTTTCGATTATCGTTACAAGCCGTCCTGAGGCCGATATAGTGAAATCCTTAGAACCACTTGTCACTTTTTCAATATCGCTGCAATCCAATACTATCGATCCAGATATCCGGTTCTATATACGGAACTCCCTAAACGGTAGAGATGGTCTCAAGCAATTTACCAAGGAAATTAAAATAGAGATAGAGGATGCACTCGTTTCCCGCTCACAAGGAATGTATGCTACACTCAACTTTAAAATTCTTAACTTACGCTGACACAAGGCTGGATACGCGAAGGTTCCGATGGGTAAATTGTCTTCTACGGATTCTACAGGAATGCATAACACCAAAAGCTGTGAGAACCGCCTTGCAGCAACTGCCGAAAGACTTGGATTCCGTCTACTTGAGGATCCTTAACTGCATTCACGAGACGCAGAGAGAATACATTAGGCGGGCGATGCATTGGCTCGCATTTTCAACGGAACCGTTGACATTAGGACAGTTTGCGGAGGCCATTGTGATTGAATACGATGTCAACAAATATGGCGAGGATTCAGAACCTCTTTTTAATATGAAGTCCCTCATGAGAATTTGCCCAAGCCTTATTTCCTTCGAAGATGCCAGGGACGATCAATCATCCACTCAAGAAGACGGGAGATTACGACTGGCTCATTTCTCGGTAAAGGAATTTTTGATCTCCGACAGGGCGGCTCACGCCCCCAGTGCCTACTATCATATTTCGGAGGATAGAGCCAATTTACTGATGGCGCACGCTTGTCTCAGTCGAATACTACGACATAGTGGACAGGGCACTATGGGAGGGAACGAAGTCGAAAATACCTCATTTCTCTACCACAGTGCTCGCTATTGGTTCGTGTATTCTAGATCTATTGAGGATACGGCACCCACCCCACTCTTCGACGCGTCAGTGAAGGTTCTCGAGCTTGGCAAGGAGTGGCTAACCATATATAACCCTGATGACCCTTACCGGCATCGCATGTACGACTTCGGGATTTACCCACCAGCAATCTACTACTCCTCCTTGTTAAATTTGGTGACCACCTGTAAATTCCTAGCCAGGAGAAAACCGGATACTGTGAACGTGAATGCTGAGGGCAGCAAATATGGTAATGCACTACAAGCGGCTGTGGGCGAAGGGAATGAAACGCTTGTTCAGCTTCTCCTCGGGTATGGGGCAGAAGTGAATTCACAAGCGGGCGGGTATGGCAATGCGCTACAAGCAGCTGCAGGGGAAGGGAACGAATCGATTTTACGGCTTCTCCTCGAGCGTGGGGCAGAGGTGAATGCTCAGGGCGGCAGGTATGGCAATTCACTACAAGCAGCTGCAGTAACGGGAAAGAGATCGCTTGTGCACCTTCTCCTCGAACATGGGGCGGAGGTGAATGCTCGGGGTGGATATTATGGCAATGCACTACAAGCGGCTGTATGGAGGGGGAACGAATCGGTTGTGCAGCTTCTCGTCGAGCACGGGGCGGAGGTGAATGCTCGGGGTGGCCATTATGAGAATGCACTACTAGCGGCTGCACGCCGGGGGAACGAATCGGTTGCGCAGCTTCTCCTCGAGAATGGGGCAGAGGTGAATGCTCAGGGTGGCCTGTTGGAAATCCAAGCTGCTCCCCACACCTGCCCGGTACCATCCCCTTCCTTTTCTCCCCGTCCTCCTCATACCCTTTTTTCCCCTTCTCCCCATTCCCATTTCCTATCCCCCCCAGTCCCGCCTTTCTTTCCTTTTTCACCTTGTTTGCTAGTTTGTTAGTTTTTTTTGGAAAAGCGCTGCGGGAGCACACAGTGGAGCGCCGGGGAAAGAGAACGGCGGCGGACCGCAGGAAGGAGCGTGGTGGAGCGCCGGAAGAGCGCTGCGGGAGCGCCGGAAGAGCGCTGCGGGAGCGCCGGAAGAGCGCTGCGGGAGCGCCGGAAGAGCGCTGCGGGAGCGCCGGAAGAGCGCTGCGGGAGCGCCGGA